CTCGTTACATGGTCCCGCGAATTTCATCGCTGTCGCGTGTCCCTCCAGTATCACCGAAGTTATAATTCCCGGAAGAGTACTGAAAATCCCTGGGGAAAAAATGTGTAACAAGACAGAAGATCCGTGTAACGGTCCGAGCTCTCGTGTCCCTCGAAAGACATAAATACCCGTCAAAATTCATAGAAAACCGTGCCGCGGACCGGCTCAAAAGTTCATCCATCAGCGCGGAAGTTCTCCGGCCCCTCCAATTTGTTGTCGAAAAGCTGTAGGGCGAAAAGCTTTACACGTATCGCAGTTTTTCTGCCCGGAAATCCGATAGTCGGACACTGGATGCACGTTAACGCCGCCTCTCTCGCGGAAACAAAAGGAAGAGGGACGAAGACAGGCGAAACCGGGAAAAAATATTCCATCGGAAAAAGGAATCGCTGGATGGAGAATCGCGGAGAGGGAGGGCGAGAAACGGGAGGAGCGACAGATGCGAAGGATCGATATGGATCGCGGAAGCTTGAGGGAGGGAGTTCGAAAAACGAATTCCCGGTGCATCGGTAATTTAAAAGACCAGCGGTCTCTACTCACGCGAAGTTATTCGGAAGGGCGCACTGGAGGGTGGATTCTTTTTATATTTTTCTCTATCCCTCTTTCTTTCCATCTCTCGTGAGAGAGATTTCTGTCTTGGTTTCTTTCCCTTATTCTTGCAATCTCTCTTTCATTATATCTCTCCTGCTTTTTATTCCTTCGTTCTTCTGTCTGCTATTGTTGCAAATCCTTTGTTTCAATCTTTGTTGATTTCTATTTTTATTGCTTTTAATTTCTATTGCTTTCAATTTCTGTTTCCTTCAATTTTTGTTGCCTTCAATTCCTATTACTTTCCATTTCTGTTGCCTTCAACTTTTATTGCTTTCAATTTCTAGCACTTCCAATTTCTGTTGCTCCCAATTTTTATTGCTTTCAATTTCTAGAACTTTCAATTTCTGTTGCTTCAATTTCTGTTGCTCCCAATTTTTATTGCTTTCAATTTCTGTTGCCTTCAACTTTTATTGCTTTCAATTTCTAGCACTTTCAATTTCTGTTGCTCCCAATTTTTATTGCTTTCAATTTCTATTGCTTTCAATTTCTGTTGCTTTCAATTTTTATTGCTTTCAATTTCTAGCACTTTCAACTTCTGTTGCTTTAATTTCTATTGCTCCCAATTTTTATTGCTTTCAATTTCTATTGCTTTCAATTCCTGTTGCCTTCAA